CTCAAGAATCTTGTTTCTATTCTAAGTGCTTTGTTTTTCCATATAATTTAGAAAGCAGCTTGTTTAGTTCTTTTAAAAGATCCGTTTGATTGAACTGGCATTGAATCCATAAATCAATTTAAGGAGAACGGACATCTTAAAACATTGACTCTTTTAATCCATAAACATAGTATTACTTTACTTTTATTGAGGTCTTCTTTTTAAAAATTTATTAATTTAATGTGGTTTTTAATTTTAGTTTATAGTTTTAGGTATAGAAATTTTTTACATTATTTGTTAGATTTAATTGAGGTATTTTATGCTATGGTAAATAGTATTGATTTTTAAATTTGATCTCCCAGTTGTTTGTTAGTAAATATAAATACAGTTTATTTCTTTTATCTTCTTATTCTGGATTACAGATCAAGAAGCTGTAAAATTTATAAAGATGTCCTGTGTACCCATCACCCACTTCCCCTAATGATATCTTACATAAGTACACTTTACCAAAAGTATACTTTCTACTTTATCATAAGTAAACATTATCAAAACCAGGAAATTTAGACTACAGACCTTACTCAGATTATACCAGTGTGCATGTACTTATCTCCTTGTTGTCTTTGTATGTAATTCAATGTCATTTTATCATATGTATAGATTTGTATAACTACCACCGTAGTCAACATACAGAATGATTCCGTCACCACAAACGAATTTCCTCATGCTGTTCTCCTTCCTCCCCTCACCTCTGGCAACCATTAACATGTTCTCCGTTTCTATAATTCTGTCATTTCCAGAATGTTACAAATTGAACTATACAACATGTGGCCTTTTGATCCTGGCTTTTCTTCATTTACCATAATATTCTTAAAATCTCTCCAAATCATTTATGTATTAATGGTTGCTTTTTTCTACTGCTGAATAGTATAATACTGTATGGATGTACCATAGTTTGTGTAACCATTTACCTATTAAGGAATGTTTGGGTTTGTTTCCAGTTAGAAGCTATTACAAAATAAAGATGCTGTGAACATCTGTGTACAGGTTTTTCTGTAAATGTAAGTTTTAGCCTTCTAAGAATTTAATAGTTTTAGCTCTTATATTTGAATGTTTGATTCATTTGGAGTAAGTTTTTGTATCTTGTGTAAGATATGGGTCTAACTTCATTTATTTGATGTAGATAGCTACACCATTAGTTGAAAAAACTTTTTTCCCTATTGAATTGTCCTGGCATCCTTGTCAAAAATCAATTGACTGTAAATGGGAGCATTTATTTCTGAATCTCAGCTCTAGTTCATTGATCCATATATATATTCTTATACCAGTACCACGCTGTCTTAATTACTGTAGCTTTGTAGTAAGTTTGGTATCAAGAAGTTCTTTAACTTTATTCTTTTTCAAGATTGTTTTAGCTATTATAGTTTTACCTTTTATATTTCTATCTTTGATCCATTTTTAGTTAATTTTTATATAAGGTATGAGGTTTAGATCAAAGTTAACATGGGGGGCTACTGATGTCTAATTGTTCCAGCACTGTTTATTGAAAAAACTGTTTTTCCACTTAATTGCTTTTGCAACTTTTGTCAAAAATCTGTTGGGTATATATTTGTGGGTCTATTTCTGGATTTTCTGTCTGCACCATTGATCTGTATGCCTGTCACTACCAATACCACACTCTAGCTGTACAGGAGGTCATAAAACTGAGCAGCATGTTTCCTCTAATTTAATTCTTTTTCAACATTGTTGTAGCTTTTCCTGTTATTTTGCCTGTCACATAAATTTTAAGATAAATTTATCTCTACCTACAAAAAAATCTTGTTGAGATTAAAATGGGAATTACATTTGGTTCATAGATTAGTTTTTAGTGAAATGCTGATTTTGCTACAGTTGTTGTTTATATTGACTTGTGTTCTGTGTCTTTTATAAATTAATTTATTTATTACTTCTAGGAGTTTTTTGCTTACTCCATAAGATTTTCTACATACACAATCATGTCATCTGCAAAACACATCAGTTTTACTTTTTTCCCAATCTTTATACTTTTATTTTCTCATCTTGCTCCATTGGGTAGGACCTCCAGTATAAATATGAGAAGTGTTGAGAGCAGATGTCCTTTATATATTCCTTGTCTTTTAGAGAATATATTTAGCTCTTCACCATTAAGTAGGAGCTTAGCTATGGGATTTTTATAGATGCATATTGTCAAGTTGAGGAAATTCCCTTCTATTCTTAGTTTACTGAAAGGGTTTTTAAAAAAAAAAAAAAAAATCAATAAGGAACGCTGAATTTTGCCAAATGCTTTTTCTGCATCTTTTGAAATTGTTCACATAGGTTTTCTCTTTTATTTTGTTAATGTGGATTACATTGAATTTCAAATGTTACAACCTGTATTCCTAGAATAAACCTCATTGGATTTGATTTACTAATATATTTTAAGGAATTTTTGCATCTGTGTTTACAAGGTATGTTATTCTGTAATTTTCTTATCTTAGCTGATATTAATATCAGTTATTCCCAAAATGAATGGAAAGTATTTCCCTTTCATCTCTATTGTTAAGTTTATTATGTTTCTTATTATGCTTCTAATATCTGTAGAATCTGTAGTGATGGCACTATTTCTGATTCTAGTATTGCTAGGAGTTTTCAATTTTATTATTATTAGGCTTTTCTTCTTTTCTAATATAAGCATTTAATATTCAGGTTCCCTCTAAGCACTGCTTTTGCTGAATCCCACAAAAAAATTTTTTTCATCATTATTCAGTTCAAAATATTTTAAAGTTTCCTTTTTTCATCTTATATGATACTGACATTTTTGAAGAATGCAGGCCAGTTATTTTATAGAGCATGGACTGTTCCTCAGTTTGGCTTTTCCCTGTGATCAGATCCAGCTTATCACACCTGGAGGCACAGAGTGTCCGTCTGCTCTTCACCAGTGATTTCAGTTAATCATAGAATGATGTCTGTTCTTCCCCGCAATGTATTATTCCTACTTTTATCCTAGCAATGAATAAACAATCTGTGGTGACACTTCAAAGCCATGCAAATATCCTTCCTTCCATCAAACTCTACTTAATTAGCTGTAGAAATTATTCTTGCCTGAGCCAGTCTTTACAAAACTATAGCAAAATGATGATTTTTCCAATTCTATCCCTCCCATCTGCATTTATCATTTGGCTTCTATTGGGAGGAAGATGCTCGTCTATCTTTCTTATTTTATTTATTTATTACCAGTAGAGACTCTCATGGACTTCTATGTTATTCAGCAGATCATAACCCATTACTATAATTATTTTGATGTTCAAATTTTCCCAAATTTAACCAGTGGGCACCCTTTCAAGATTGTTCTGCTGTCTTTTGATATGTCCCCATTTTTAAAGTCCTTCTGATATTATAACATCATTTTTAATAGTTGAAAGAATATTCATTGTATTAATATTTATATACCAAAATACATTTAACTATTTTCTTACACTTAGAATTTTAAATTGCAGGTTTTAAAAATGCTAAACAATGTTGTGATGAGCATACTACTAACTGAATATTTGCACAAATCCAAAATTATTTGTTTGGCATAATTAATTTCTAGAAGTAGATTTGTTAACTTGCCCCCTAGAAAAATTCTACCTGTTTTTATGCAGCAATATATAAGAATGCCCATTTGTCATTACTTTAATTTGGATAGAATTTTAATCAGTCTAGGGTTTTACTCCATGGTTCCCAGACCAACAGTATCAGTATTACCTGGGAGCCTGTTAGAAATGCAGTGTCGAATGAGTCAGAATATGCGCTTTAACCCCAGACCTAATGTGTTAGAACATGCATTTTAACAAGCTCCCCAGATAATACATAGGTACGTTGATGTCTGAGAAGCAATGTTCTAATATAATTTACATAGGAGTCCCAAATTGAATTGGTCCTAAATTTAGACAAGGTAAGATCAGCAGCTTATACTGGCATTTATATTAACAAAAGGTAAAAGTGGCAAAAAATTAAAGGTGCTTATGGTATATAAGTGCCTATATATGTATATCCTAAGCAAGCCCGTGAGGAGGGGCAGGACAATGCAGATCAGCACTAACACTGTTTCCCCAGAACACAAGAGATAATGTTCTCTCTCCAGCCTCAACCTCACCTGCTCCATTCTGAGCACCCTGGGCACTAGCATTGTTTTTCCAGTGGTCGAAGGATAACCTGAGTCAGAACCAGTTGTGGCGTGTGTTACAATGCATATTCCCAGAGAATGTGTTTCAGTAGGGCCTGATATTATACCCCAAAATCATCATTTTATTTATTTATATATATATTTTTAAACCTTTATTGATTTCAGAGAGAGGAAGGGAGAGGGAGAGAGAGAGAAACATCAATGATGAGAGAGTCATTGATCGAGCCTGCAACCCGGGCCTGTGCCCTGACCGGGAATCGAACCCCGATCGCCTGGATCCTAGGTCGACGCTCAACCGCTGAGCCACGCCCGGCCGGGCCAAAATCATCATTTTAACAAACACACCAGCTGATTCTGATGCCCTGAAGTTTGAGAGCTACTGCACCGCCATACTTCCCACAACACATCTGGAATGTATTGTTTCATCAAATGTTTCATTTGCTTCAAAAGAATAGTTGCATTTTTATAAAAGCCTTTAGCCAGAATTCACTTTGTTGTTGTTATTGATTAATGAAAGGAGTAAGTCTGGGAATCCTAATTACTTAGTTAGCCCTCTCTAGTTCTAACCAAGTGCCTCGAAGCGAGGATGGAGGGAAGTAATCCTGTTGAACTGTATTTCACACTTCCGTTCCCTACCCTGGAGGCTGCCTTTCTGAACCACTCCACATTCTTTTCAGATGACACCTCAACACTTTTCCTGTCAATATATTTTGGTGAAATAAATTCTTATCATGGAATAAAACGTTATTCCATCAAAAATTTATGTTAAAATCTATTGTTCTTAAGTATATGTCAAATATAGTAAAGAAAGTATATTAAAACTTCAGTTTTTTAAAATACAAATAACTTTTTTATATAGGAGGAGCAAAGAAAAAAGGAAACAGCACATATAGAAGGTACTTGTTCTCAACAATTTATTAGAAGAAATTGTAATCAACTTAGAACAATTCACATCTTTAAAAATCAAGAGGCTATCCTAAATGTTATCTAAGTATTTTTAAAAACCATAAAAATTCAAGGGAAACATTAATTTATTAGTATGTGAATGGGCATACTTTTTTTAGAAAACAAAACTTGCAATGTTATATCTTAAATTAAAATGTGAAATTTTAATTTTTGTCCCTTATTTATACCCAAAGGCATCATAGTCATTGCCACATAGTAATGCCAGAGGGTCAAAAGACCTGAGTGTTTTATAACCCTTTAGATAGTACATATTATGTTTTAGTATCTAAAACATTGTCCTCCTACACAATTTTAGAAATACTGAATATAAAATGTAACAAGGTATTTAAAACAGCTTTCAAAATTAATGTTACACATTAATATCAAAAGTTAATATGTAAAATATAGTAAAAGATGTTTTAAGATATTATATAAATGTGATCTTTTCTAAAACAGTGTTTTTAAATACCAACTGTCAGCATAAATAACATATTAGGAGAAGCATGAGACTTAGAGTAACAAAAATCTAGATTGAAGTCCATTTTGTATCTGATCTGTGGTGATTCATCTCTAATTCTCAGTCTCCTCTTTTGTAAAGTGGTGCGATAATAACTCCCTTAAAGAATTACTGAGAGGATAAGTGACACGGATAAGTGACACTGAAGTCTATCAAACTGCTTTGCAAATTGTAAGACACTGTAGGAATGTTAGTTGTTACTTTTATTGGTATAATGCCAACTGATAGGCCCTTTCCACTATGGACCAAACATTTTGTAGTCTGCCGACTCAAGGAGGCTTGTGTTTTTTTAAAAATAAGACAATATTTAGCTATAAATAGTTAAGAAACTGTCTTTTCTAATTTTAAGGAACATTCCAGAACTGATATTTCTAGCCTGTTCAGAATCCTCTTCTGTTCATACATTGATTTTATTTAGAATAGACTTTTCTACTCTTGATTATCATAAAAATGTTTCTAATTCCCAGTTACATATTTAACAGTGTACATATCATGATAGCAACTCAGAATTTTCACTATATCACCATCCTGTCCATTACAACCCTAAAAAGATTCTAATTTTTTTAACTCCTCACCCAAGGATACGTTTATTGATTTTAGAGAGGAGGAGAGAAGAGAGAGAAACATTCCTTGGTTGCCTCCTGAACACTCCCCAGCTGGGTATGGAACCCTCAACCTAGGTATATGCCCTGACCAGGGAGCAAACCTGCAATTTTGCGGTGTACAGACGATGCTCCAACCCACTGAGCCACACCGGCCAGGGCAAGAGTCTAAATTTTAACAGAAACATTGTCCTTATAATTAAGATTTGGCTCATAAATATATAATATTCATAGTAAATCTAATTTTCTTTTACAGCAAGTAAAGATCACTCTAAAGATGAATTCTGCCTTGCAACAAAAAAGGTCATTTGTGACCCTTCAGAGACTACCTCAACAACAAAGAGCAGCAATGTGTCCTTAAGCCTATCGACATTACCATCTGATTCTTATTACAGTGAAACTATAGAAGCAGCTGATGAGTGGTTTTCTGATGATTCTCTAGTGAAAAGGAGCTCTGCAATACCTTTTCTCAAGGAACCTCTAATGGAAAAAGTATTTCCATACCTGTCAACCATTCCATTAGAAGAATGTACTGAATATGACACTTTATGATCATCAAAAAGATGACATTAATGAAATATTTTCAGGAAGAAATACAGGAGTTAAAATACAAAACCTTCAACATAATATTGAATGACTTTCCTTTTGAAACTTTGTATACACTAAAATTAGTAAAGTTAAAACTGAATCACCAGCTTCTGAGTCTCTCAACATATCCATGCTAATATTGCTTTTCTTTTTCTTTACCATGGAGTGGTCCTACTTCCCTTACTGATTCTTATTTCTGAAAACAAAATTACAGGAAGAACTAGAGTGATATCATGAACTTTCAGCTTAACTCCTCATATCTCTTCAAAAGACATAATAATACAAAATAACACAAATATATTTCATAATATAGGAGGAATACTTTAAGAAATCTTCAGGACAGATTTTTTAAAACTGATTTTTAAAGAGAGATTAAAGGAGAGGGGGAGAGAGAGAGAAACATCAATGAGAGAGAAACATTGATCATCTGCCTCTTGCACACCCGCTGCTGGGCCCACAACCTGGGCCTGGGCCCTGACCGGGAAGCAAACCGGCAAACTTCACTGCCCGGGGTGAAGCCCAACCAACTGAGCCACACTGGCAAGGACAATATATATTTTTAAATAAAACATTCACAGCATTTCCTTACACCTTTGACATTTTCAATTTAATTTCAATGTTGGTAGGGCTGGGTAAAATACCTCCCTCAGCTTTTCCAAATTTTATAATATACAAACCACCTACCATTCAAATATTAATATGTCATGATGCTGGCAACTAATATAATTTTTCTCCTCTAGAGGAAACAGAAACAATCTGAAAAACCCAGAAAATAATTTTCTTTCCCCTGTTCTGTGTCTGTTTTTCAGAGTGGCTCCTCACCCCTCACCCCTACTATGGTGAAAATGGGAGCAGCTATGACTCCATAGGCCCTTGACTCAATCTAGATAAATCAGAGTTCTTCTCAAACCAGAGACCCTTGGCCAAATTTCTACTTATGGTTCTCAGGGATTTCTGACACCCACCATGTAGTTAATCTTTATTCTTTCATCTAAATACTATCTATGTAATTAGTCCCTTTTTTTCTTTCTCTTGGGAAAAACAATTAACAAAATATAATATTACCTTCTGTGTTTAAGTTACTCATGACCAGACCTGTGCATATCTTCCCAAGAGATAAATCATACCTATTACAATAAATGAAGAGAAACTTGCCTACATTACTGCAAGTCTCATAACTATCTTCCTACTCTTTCTTCTTGCTTTTGAGTATTCATTCACTAAACAATGTCCAGGGTAATATTTTGAAATATAAATCAGGTTACCACAGTCCCCTTCTCAAAAACTTGCAAAGTCGTTCTTCTATTGTACTAAAGTAAATTCCAAACTCCGCGCCATCTCCTATGTAGCTTTACATGAGGCAACTCCTCCTGCCTGATAGACTTCATTTCAAACCTCCTCCCTGTAGCTCAGTACGTTCCAGCCACCTGGCTGGACTCTTTTTTGAACACACCGCACTTATTTCTGCCTTAGGCTTTTGTACTTACTGTTCCCTCCATGTAAATGATCTGCTTCTAGAGTTTTGCATGGCTGGCTCCTAAATATTATTCTAATTTCATTTCAAATATTACTTCCTTAGAGGGGCTTTAGCTGACCCTCATGCAGAGTAGGTCCTCAAAAAAGAGAAAAAAAACACACCTGTGATGATGTATTGAGTTGAAATTAGAGGTATCAATATGTATATGCATGTATATTATATGTGTATGTATTTACTTATTTACAGTGATACCTATAATACTATAAATTTATACTATGTATGTTCACACAATACATATTAATACTGATAACTCATCCCGGGGGCAAAGAGCACAGTTAATGCCCAGATCTTGATATATAGAAACTATTCCCCACTCAAAGGAAACAACATTCCTTGAAGGAACGGCTAATTCTAGGGCTGTGGAAAGGAAAATACAAAGTAAACCTGAAACATTTTCTTGTGCTTAAAGTAAGCAAGTGCTCATAAACTGATGGGACCATGCCAAAAGGACACCTGAGCTAGCTTCAAGGGCTTCTGCTGGTCAAATTAGGGAAAGCTTGGGATCAAAATTAATAGTTGACTATAACATATTGATTAAAAAGAGACCCATGAGTTATCTATACTGATAAAGTTTTTTAAAATGTAAAAGGGTAAGAATAGAAAGTCAACTAATAAGTGTAGAAAGAATGACAGAATTAGGAAATCACCATTTTGCAAACTCCCTTAGTAATGATGTATGCAAGAGGTCAGCATATATTAAAACACTAAGTTTAAGGTTTTTGAGAACATGATAGTCACAGTCTCAAAGAATCACCCACAGAGTACGTATAAAAAGGGTAGAAAGTACTTTACAATAAAAAATATAAAAGCCAGACACTTCTCCAAAGAAGACATACAAATGGCCAACATATATGTGAAAAGATGCTTAACTTCACTAGCTATTAGGGAAATGCAAGTCAAATCAAATAGTAGCATTTGCAGTTGAATTAAAAATAAACTGTATTCTTTCCTGGATGATAAAAGGAAGTTTGTCCTTGGTGATATGTGACTATGCAGGAGGCTATTGAGAAAAGCCTTCTGTCATAACCACGGCTGAGGCTGGATTGTACTGGGAGCCAGATGCTTTCTACAGGGAAAGGCTACTCACTAACCAATTCCTATAGGGCCTTTAACTGCAAACACCATGCCACAGGGCTCTCCTTCGCTGACACCAATGCAAAAGGTTGGGTTCCCTTTTTCTTTTCTTCTCCCTCTCTCCCTCTCTCCCTCTCCCTCCCTCCCTTTCTCTTTCCTGTTTTGGACCTTTTCTTCCACCCTACTTCAGACGTAGAATATTTCATCCAATCCCAGGTTGCCCTCTACATAATATGTTTTATAGTATTTTCTCCTTTCTACTTTCTTTACTGTTACTCTTTTTCTGACTTTTACAATTCAAACCTTTGTTTTATAATGCAGTCAAGATTATAAATCATACAATCTTTGACAAGGGTGCCAAGACTGCTCAACGGAGAAAGGACAGGTTTGCCTCTTCAACAAATGGTGCCGGGGAAACTGGATATCCACATGCAAAAAAATGAAGTTGGACCCTACCTTACACCATATACAGGAATTAGCTCAAAATGGATGAAGACCTACTTGTAAGACCTAAAACTATAAAACACCTAGAAGAAAACATAGGGGGAAAGCTCCATGATATTGCACTTGGCAGTGATGTTTGAATGTGACACTAAATGCACAGGCAACAGAAGCAAAAACAGACAAATGGGACCACATCAAACTTTAAAAATTTTGTACGTTAAAGGACACAATCGGCCCTAGTTGGTTCGGCTCAGTGGTTGGAGTGTCAGCCTGTGGACTGAAGGGTCCCGAGTTTGATTCCAGCCAAGGGCACGTATCTCAGTTGCAGGTTTGACCTCCAGCCCCGGTTGGGGAGCTGGCAGGGGGCAACCAATTGATGTGTCTCTCTCACATACCTCTCTCTCTCTTTCTCTTTCTCCCTTCCACTCAATGGAAAAAATATCCTCGAATGAAGATTTTTTTTAAAAAGGACACAATCAATAGAATGAAAAGGCAACATATGGAATGGCAGAAAATATTTGCAAATCATAGATCTGATAAGCGATTAAAATCCAGAGTATATAAAGAACTACTGCAACTGAACAATAAAAATATAAATAACCCAATTTAAAAATGGGCAAAGAAACTTAAGTAGACATTTCTTCATAGATGATGTATAAATGGCCAAACAAACACAAAAAGATGCTCAACATTACTAATCATTAGAGAAATGCAAATCAGAACTACAGTAAGGTATCACCTCACACCCATTAGGATGGCTACTATAAAAAAAAATAATTATAATGTTTTGGTGAGGTTGTGGAGAAATTGAAACTCTTGTGCATTGTTGGTGGAATATAAAAGGGTGCAGCCACAATGGAAAACAACATGGAAGTTCTTAAAAAATTAAAAATAGAATTACCATAAGACGTAGAAAACCCAAAACAATTAGAAACAGAATGTCAAAGAGATATTTGCACACCCATGTTCATAGAAGCATTATTCATAATAACCAAAAGCTGGAAGCAACCCAAATGTCCAGTACTGTATAATTCCACTTATATAAAATATCTAAAGTCACACAAGTTCAGGAGGCACAGAGAGTCCCAAGCAAGAAGAACCCAAAGAGGCCCATGCCCAGACACATAATAATTAAAATGCCAAAAATTCAACACAATCTTAAAGGCAGCAAGAGAAAAGTAATCTGTTACCTACAAAGGAGCTCCCATAAGCCTGTCAGTTGATTTCTCAACAGAAGTTCTACAGGCCAGAGGATATGGCATGAAGTATTCAAGGTAGTGAAAAGCAAAGATCTGAAACCAAGACTACTCTATCCAGCAAGGCTATCATTCACAATAGATGGTGAGATAAAGAGATTCCCAGATCAAAAAAAAAAGGCTAAAGAAGTTTATCACCACCAAACCAACATTGCAAGAAATGTTAAAGGGACTGCTGTAATAAGAAGTAGAAATAGAAATATAGGTATAAAAAATTAAGATGGCAATAGATAAGTACCTATCAATAATAACCTTAAATATAAATGGATTAAATGCTCCAATCAATCCGCATAGGGCAGCTGAATGGATAAGAAAACAAGACCCAAATATATGCTGTCTACAAGAGACCACCTCAGAACAAAAGACTCGCATAGGCTGGAGGGGGGGAAAAATAAACACAAAACTTCTGGAGGACTTTAAGTGAGAGATTGACAGCAACACAGTCATAGTAGGGGACTTTAACACCCCACTAACTTTACTGGATAGATCTTCCAGACAAAAAAATCAACAAGGAAACAGTGACTCTAAATGACACACTAGATCAGATGGATTTAATTGACATTTACAGAACATTTCACCCCAAAGCTGCAAAATATACATTCTCCTCAAGTGCACATGGGACATTCTTAAAGTAGACCACATGTTAGGACACAAAACAAGTCTCTACAAGTTCAAGAAGATTGAAATCATATCAAGCATCTTCTAGGACATTTATACCATGGAATA